TTTCATCCTATCCATAGGGTCCGAAACTTGAGCAATCCAGCAAAAAAATTCAAAATCGAGGCGAATGCTGGGCAGCTGTATCTCACGGGTGTGGTGGTCCTGCACAAAGATGTCAACGTGGTGGTGGTAGAAGGAGGTGAGGCCTTTGAGGCAGGCTCGGGTCACCACTGAGCATTCTGGAGCTTGCCTCCAGCAGGAATTGCTGTGGAAATTGGTGGCAGGGTTAGAGAAGGACAAGGAAGTGAGGAGGCAATTAAAAACTCCCTTAATTACATTGTTAAAGGGGTTAGCAATGACTGCAGAGTGCAGTAATCTAGTCAGAAAACCCAGATCGTTCCATGAGGAAAGGAACCTCTGCCGGCTGCAGGTTAGGAGATTTTCTGAGAATGTTGAGTCTTGATTCTTCCACAGGCCCGAAAGCACAGAAGAAATTCAAACGTCTCATGCTGCATCGAATAAAGTGGGATGAGCAGACGTCAAACACCAAGGGAGAAGGTGAGCAGGGAGAGGGTGAGCTGTGCTGTGCTGGTGTGAGATGGGGGAGTTCTCCTCCACCTCGGGTGCTAAATGGGATTTTATTGGCGGGGTTTTTCCAGATGATGATGAGTCTGACGAGGAGTCCGTTAAGAAAACAAACAAATGCTCTCTGGTTTGGGAGGTGAGTCATGGTGGTGGTTCCATACCAGGATGGGGCTGAGGTGGGATCCAACTCCCATCACTTTCCTTGTATTCCCGTATTCTCCACGTGCCCTGGAGCCGCGTTTCCCGCGCGGAGGGCGGGAATTCGGGCGGGAATTCGGGCGGGAATTCGGGTGGGAATTCGGGTGGGACGTCACCCCTTGTTGTCCCGCAGGGCACGGCAAAGGATCGCAGCTTCGGCGAGATGAAATTCAAGCAGTGTCCCACAGAGAACATGGCACGGGAGCATTTCAAGAAGCACAGCGCCGAGCACTACTGGGACCTGGCGCTCAGCGAGTCCGTGCTCGAGTCCACGGACTGAGCCCGGCCACGGCCCCGCGGCCGCTCCTGCCCCGCAGCCCCTGAGCCACACAGCTCCCATCACTCTCCTCAGCACCCCCATTAAAGACATATTTTTTAAAACAAATCGCCGTCGCGTGTTTTTGGGTAATGGGGGGCAAAGGGCAACAGTGCCCCTGCGTTTGGGGGACAGGGACCTGTGAGGGGAGTGGGGGGCAGAAGCCGCTTCCCCTCTTTTCTAAAGATGCAGCCCCAGGCGTTCGACCATGTTCGCGTTGGACGTTGGGGAATTTCTTCGCATCCCCATCCCTGCCTGTGTCTAAGGCACGACTGGCGTGGCACTCAGGGTGCGAATCGGTCACAGGTTGAACTCAGAACTCTTTTCCAGCGTCACTGACTCCGGAATTTACGGCGTAAACGCCGTTTTTGTGCTCCCGCGCTCCCCGCGCCTCTCACGGCCACGAAGCGAGGGGGGGGGGCCAAGAGGTTGGGGGGGG